CCTTTGGGATTATACTGTTTGCTTTAGGCTCCCGATTGATCTGGCGGTGATTTCCTGTGCCTTAAAACCAGTGGCAAAAGCGCAAATTGCAGACAAACGGCACGCTCAAACATTTGCCTCCGTGTTAGAGAGCAGAACACGTCCCTGGTTTTTATGGTAAAACACGTCCGAGCTTTGAGAGCGTGGAGACTCCAAACCCTCAGCTCCACGAAGCTTGTCCCCTGCCCATCCCTACACCCACAGAGTACCGAAGGACAGAGCTGCAGAGATTTATCTTACTGCAGCTTCCACCATCACTGCCACTGCTTTAAAATTTTCAGCCTGAAAAGATGCTGCGGATGGTGTGGTGATCTGCCAACTGGAGGCACCTGATAAGCTATCTGCTGTAACCAGTATCAAATGGAGCCCATCGATTCCTGTAACTGGTCACCAGCACTTAAGAGCACACAAGCGATCGGGCATTACTGCAATTATTCTTCAAGAAATCCTGTCATGCTCTGAAGCACTACCAAGAGGGATTAGATGATGAGCTTTTCAGGCAGACATTTTTCAGCTCTTGTCTTCCATAAGCAAAATCTGCAACTGAACTCCTGCCAAAATGAAGATTTTACACTTAACAGAAGGGACAGTGTATGTTGTTGCCCGAATTCATCTCTGTTATTTAAGATTCTGCAAAGCACGCTTACGTATGAGTAATAAAACATATTTAAGCACATATCCAAGTGTTTTGCTGAATCAAGGCCTAAAAGAGGTTAGGGCTAGTGTTAGGGCTGAGAGAGGATTTGAATCTACATATAAAAACCATCCTAACAAGCTCCAGTTGTTTTCTGTAAGAGCCTGTGGATAAAGATCTACACTGAACTATTCCATCCCAAGGAAACCAGATCGCTTTGGCTTTTACATTACCTGAAGAGAATTACCCCACCTCTGAAAAAAAGCTGTCTGAGGAGCATGGCTTTTTGCAGAAGGCAAGAGGGGTTTACACAGAGACCTAACAAAAATTAACTGACAGAGGGAAGTTCTGAGGCGCTGGACTTTCCCAGCTTTGGGAGCAAGGCTCAACTATCCAAAGCCCACTGAACGCATTAAAGAGGAGAAATGCAGCATTCTATTTTAAAACATAAAACGTGCCTGCTAGGGAGGTCATTCACTTTTCCTTTCCATTCTTCTTCTGACCTCAGCTCTCTGGCAAGATTGCCTTTTTTTGAGGAGACCCTGTACAACCCTGAATCAATATATTACCGAGTTTTACCCCAAGGTTGCCAGAACCTAGGAAGACAATGAAGAGATTTTAATGAAGAGATTTACCATCTGAGCATTTTACCAAAATGTCTAAAGGAGACAGAAGTCTCCTGTTTATTTACTGTACCTCTGAAATAATTCCTCATCCTTCTGCATTCACATTCTCAAGAGTTCTCCACCATCACTGCAGAAGAGCCCTGAGAATCCATCCTTGCATCCTCACACTCCTACACTGGCAAGCCTGGAGGTGCCTGCATCTGTGAGTGTATTAAGTTTTCCCCCTAATTAAAAGCAGTACAAAGCCTCCAGCAATGGGGTGATACAGGACAGTGAGAGTTGAACAGGACAGCACTGGGACAAACCATATAGTCCTTGGAAGGTGCAGGTGGCCCGTTCCACCATGTGCTGGCCTTTTCAAGCAAAGCACCCTGACAGGTGACCCTCAGCACTGAACCCAAAGGAAAACTCAGAGAAGTGCCTAAGAAAGGACACTGGTGATTCAGGCAGACTTTCCTACGGAGGGTCTTGTCCCACTTCTCTGTGTAACTGCACTTGTCTCTGCTGAGCTGGAAACACTGAAAGCTGCCGAGTGCTGAAACGAGGCCCTGGGAGGCTCCATCACTCATTATCACATTTCAGCCTGAGTGGTCTCCAAACCACAACTCTTCCCAAGGGTTTGAAATATTTATATTTTTTTTTAATTGTAGCTGGTTAAATATTGGGCCCTTATCTAAATCAGAAGTCTGCAGGTACTGAATTTTTCTTCCTCGCTTACTGCCTTCTACTTCTAGAGTCATTATATTGAAATTAAGACTGATAACTGCTGGAGGAGAGTTTGGATCATTCTGACTATTTGGGGAAAAAAAAGGAAAAAAAGAAAGGCAAGCTTGTGCTCTTACTCTAACTCAGATTTCCAAGTATACACAGGAACTAGTAGATAGAAATTGTTTTAGGCAAAGGGTACTAATTCACTTCACTCTCCTGTCGAAGGCTCAGAAGGAGCCTTAGTCCGTGTGCTGTGATCTCTTGCCTAATGAAGGTCACTAATGATCACCCAGTTACCTATGTATTGAATCTAAAAGCTTGGCTCAACTTAAAACACTTCACAAAGGGACATTTGGTCTTAATTTGAAAACAAAGAAGAACAGAGGATCTGCCACTTCTCTCGCTACTTCATTCCAGCAGTTAATCATCCTCATTGTATAAAAACTGTCTTTGATTTCCTATTTGGATTGCATAATTTCAGCCTCCAGAAAAGATCTCTTGTGTTTGTCTCTAGTGTGTGCAAGACCACTTTCTAATGCTGTTTTCTGGTAAAAGTATTTACAAGCTCCAGCCACATGTCCCTCACATCATTTCTGATACTCAAAATACTCATCGTTAGCTTTTCTCCAACCTTTAATCATCTACGTAACTCCTTTTGGACCCTCTCCAGGTTTTCCTCATCTCTTTAAAGGTGGGCACCAAAACTAGAGCGTGGAATTCTCATCTGGGTCCCACCAAAGCCACAGCAGAGGTAAAATGAACTCCCTGCTCATAAACTGCAGTACTGTGAGAAGTGTGTGTTTGGTTGATACAAGATGTCCTGTAAAGCCTCTTCAGCAGCAGGAAGAAGACGGGATGGGACCTGCATTGCTCGTTCCCAAGGTCTGGATCTACTGGCACTGCCCTGAATCACTCTGGTTTTCCCAAGGACTGCACAGCCCCCAAATAAAGTGGGAAACCAAAGAGTTAACACAACACGCCCTTTTCACTACGCTCATTTTGATAGGATTTCGGAGCTGAGGTTAAGAGCAAAAGCTCTGCTTTTGACTCATGGTTGCACGTGGCTGAACCTGAGCTTTGATCAAGGTTTTTACCTGCTCTCAGGCAGTACTGCCAAACCAGCAACAGGAGAAAGTCCCCACAGATCCCCCTTCCGATGGGATTGTACCAGAGGATGCAGAGAGAAGGAAATCCAAGCCCTTCTCTGCTTGCAAAACCTCCTGGCGGGCGATAGCTGGGCCCTCCAGCCCACCAGCGAGAAGCTCAGAAGACAACCTGGAGCAGCGTTTCCCCGTGTGTGACTCACAGAAAAGCTGTGTGAATCACAAAATTCCACCGGCGCTGCCAGGTGGGGCAAAACTGCGCCTCGAACGGACACGTCTGGAGTCGCCCTCCAGTCCATGTACACTGGCCCCACACACCTCCCCAGGACAGCCAGAAAAGCTCCTTGTGCTGCTGAATAACTAACCTGGGTTTGTATTTTGCTCTTAAAATACATTCCTGGGCCCTTAGACATTCTTGTGAGGAACAGAGTGACCCGAGCACAGATCCTTGCGGCGACAAACATGCATCCTCACTACTTCACAACCCCCGCCTGCCCCAGAGAGGAAGCTGGAATTCACCCCTGCAATGAGGGGAGGTTCGTGTTGGCGACGAGTGCACAGATATTATCCCATTTACCGCGTTTTGTAATCCTCTGCTAAGCAGGATGCTGGGCGCTTTGGGAGCCAACGGAAGAGCTACTCGCCCACTGTCAGACCTGAGCAAAGTCGAGAGCAGTCCCTAAAGGTTTGAGAGGAGTTTATTCTAAACCTGGTAATGGTCCAGAGTCATTTATAAAGGTCACTAAACTCTACATCCAGATTGTAGGTTTCTTTAAACCAATATTTATCTGTACAAATCTCAGGAGGAAAGACAACGCTTCTCCTTTCACAAGTGAACTTTACAATGGCCTTTTCATTATCAACTTCTTTGGTTCCATGCCAATAATCTTTTACTCTTTTTCTAATCCTTAATTAATCCCTTTTATAAACAATTTACGCTCGGCATATTCCGCTCAGAATAAATCTTTTGCCGTGTATATGAATCGCAACAAGACCTTCAACATCCAGTCAAATATTTTCATCTATTAGGAACATAAATAAATGTGTGGGTACACCAAGAAAAATTACCTGACTCCTGAAAATTGAGCTCTGACACTTCCCTTGAACTCAGTTGGAATTTGTGAGCTCTTTGCAGTTGCAGACAAGACAGTGAGAAAATTTCCATTGCTTTACTTAAGCACTGAAAGACTTCTGAAAAGTGCTGCCCTGAATTTTCAAATCCCATTTCCCCTGGCAAAGCCACGACTCCCCCAAATCATGTACAGAATGCAACACTTTCAGGTGGGTTCAGATTAAAAAAGAACCCAAAAGATGCCCTGAGAACAGCAAGGAGGAGACATTGATTTACCTGCAAGTTTTTCCTCTAAAAAATAAGACACTGTAATAGCTTAAGGTGTTTCAACACGCAATTTCCATTTGTTCTCACCACACTCAAACATAAGAGAATAATTTTTGAGCATTATGTACACACCGAAATGACAAATATACATGCTTGACTAGAGTTGCATTTCCAAATACAAAGTGAGGGAAAATACCGTTTTGGCTGCACAAATTTTATCGTTTTTCTGTAAAAATGATAAATGCACATTACAGTTCCATAAACACAAGTGATTTAAAGTATGTAGTGCTTGTAATGGCCAGGTTGAAGCTATTTTGTAAATGCAGCCCTTAAAACAACCAAATACTACTTTTCTGGGCTGTTGCTTAAGAAAATACCATTGAACACTTACAGATGGCAAATAAAAAAACAACTTTTGAAGCTGGAGCCTTGCATGGGAATTTTGCCTGGGGAAGCAGGCAAGATGAGGTCTCACTTTGTACGCTGGTTGCCAAAGGAATATATATTACAAAAGGAAGCCACTTAATAAGGCTACGGTCGATCTGACTTACCACAAGAGCAGCACGTGAAGCAGTTGGTATGGTAGAGGTTACCCATGGCTTGGCAAGCCTGGCTCGCTCCGTACACACCTTTTCCACATTTTATACAAATACCTGCAAAGCAGAAAGAGAATGAAAGTTAGAATCCTCCACAGCTCCTAAAAAACAGCTCCCAGCTGTTGATTCACAACACTTAGGACACCCCCGTGGGGCCCTGAAGCAACGAGCTCCTCACCCTGAACAGATTAAAGTACCCACCACTGCAACAGGCAGCCTGAGTGAAACAGATGCATGGAAATTAACCCAAAATAAAAAGGGGTGGGAAAGCCTCTGCTAGTGTTTCAGAAGACAGAAATCCAAATGAGAGGACAGAAAATCTGCAGACTCCCTGGAAATAACTCCATTTGCCCAAGGAATAATTTAGTGAGACCTTCACAACCAGGTGCTCCACCACATTACGTTCAATTATCACTAATAAAACAACAATTCAGTCCAAAACCAAGAGACCTCTCGTGGCCCCTCTCTCAGCAGCGCTGGTCCGTGGTGGAAGCCACGCGGTACTGGGAAAACGGGTCTGTTGGTCACATTTAATAATTGTTTAACTTTCCATGAACAGTAGTATGTAACCTCATGAACGTAACCTGGCACCTCACAAAACAGAAGAGCCAGGCTTCTACCTTCCCTACGGTCTGAGGGCCAAAACTCTGGCTCCCATGAAATCTGAAGAGCCAAGGTACCGCTGGCAAAGTCAGCTGTGCCAGCGTGGTTATGTCCACACACACAGCAAACACACGAGAAAGGTCAGGATTTCAGTAAGCTCTACAAAGAGGGGTTTTTTGGGGGTTATTTTTTTCTTTCTTTGTTTTTAAAAAGCTTTTTCCTCATAGTTATTATAGCTTTAAGAGTCTTTTGCCTATGCGTTTATTTCTAGCTACACATAACCTCTCTATACTCAAACCAGGGCAGGGAGGTTTACAGATTTACAGATTTGACAGAGCTGGAAGGGACCTTCTAGAGATCATCCAGTCCAACCCCCCTGCCAAAGCAGGGCTGCCCAGAACACATCACTCAGGAGCATCCAGGTTGGAACTAGATGATCTTTAAGGTCCCTTCCAACCCAAACCATTCTATCTCCAGAGAAGGGGACTCCTCAACCTCCCTGGGCAGCCTGTTCCAGGGCTCTGCCACCCTCACCCCAAAGAAGTTCTTCCTCATATTTGAGTGGAACTTCCCATGGTCCAGCTTGTGCCCGTTGCCCCTCATCCTATCACTGGAAACCACTGAAAAGAGTCCGGCTCCATCAGTAATTTTAAAAAAGCAATAAATTTATTAATAATAGATTATTATTTATTTTTTAAAATCCTAAACATGATTTCAGTGTTCCAGTGAGGCAAGAGCTATGACTTTAATATTATCAGACACCAATGTCCCAAGTTAAAGCTGTAACACAAACCAGCTGCCCACCAGGTCCATCAGCTCATTGCAAACAAAGTATTAAGAAAACGCTGGTCCTTAGGCTGGCTCAGCTCTGGTACAGGAAATGGGAATCTCAGACTATCTGTTGCCTTCTCCAAGGCTGTTACATCTTTTTATTTATTTATTTGTAACCAAAGGTTATGAAAAAGACCTGCTTTTTGCCACAAGTTAACGGTTAACTGCAGAAATCCAGAGCCTGCAGTTCTCTAGCACCTCTATGAGCTCTCATGCACACACCTACTACAGCCAGGAACAGCTTTGATAAATGAAGTTATTGCCTCATTTCTCCACTGTTGCTCTGCTGAACCATCAGAAGCAAAAGAAGGATTTATTGTGGATGTTAAACTTACACTGGCCTCTCCAGCAGGTGATTTGTTATGAGCAGCTGTCAGTTTGTTAACTCGTTTTCTCTAAGAGACTAGTCATTAACTCCAGGAATGAATGACCACAGAGACGATTAGCATACTAAAAAAGCGCGTGTATAATTCCAGAAGTGTATTTTGGAAAATATATATGCAGCTGTGGTGGGGGTATAGCGTGAGCTCATAACTGCCTAGGAAAAGCACTGACTGCACGGCTGCTGGGTCTGCTTTTCCACCAGCCCCGCTGCACACTGCGAGCCTGTGAAAGCCTGGACATAACAGCTACATCACTTTATTTTTTTTATTCCCCAGATTTAATTCCAAAGCTCGTTACGCTGCCTATGAAGAATGTTCTGTTACAGAGCAAGCGTGTCCCATTTCTGACGCTTCACTTGACACGACTTCAGATGAAGCGCTTCAGCCTTTATGGGATTCCTTGCCCCTCCCGACACCTCTATTCTCCACTGCCAACTGTGCCTCCAGCTCTTCAACACACCAACGGCTGCATCTCCACCCTGGTCATCAGCTCTCCCACAGATCTCTCTGCTGTCTCACTCTTTAGCTAGAAAAAGATGCTGTAAGATTTTACATATGCCCAAAGTTTGCATAAAGGCTGGCTGAGCAGGAGCACAGCATCATCACAGCGTTCCATCACTCCAGTGAAGAGATGTCTGCACCCTCACAGGGTGTTGAACCCAACACCAGAGCACAGGCTGAACAACACACACACGCTCTGTGGACCATGGCAAAGGACCCCCAACAAAAACGACACTAGAAAGAGAAGGAGCTCCCAGAGAGACCCTGCTAGAGGTCAGTGTCACACATTGCCAGCGCTCCCCACACCTCTATCCAGTCCACTGAGCTTGACCGTGTCAGTCGGAGGAACGTCTCTGGACACAACCAGACAAGTCTCCAGCACCGTATGGCAATGTGGCCATCAGAGGCTCTCCAGGCAGCTCATGCATTAGGGAAATGCTAATTATCACACCAGGAGAAAACAAGACAAGCGGCAATGCGGCCGTCAAAGGTACCATGCTCTCCAGGCAGCTCACGCATTAGGGAAATATTAATTATCACACCAGGAGAAAACAAGACAAGTATTTTCTGATGTAGTCAATCGCTTTGCTCTAGACTCAAGGGATCAAATGCAGTGTGTTGTAACAAGTGAAGGTATCAGCAACAACCCAAAGATCCACTTGTAGGAGACCCCTGTAGTAGCTTATGCACTAGAAGTTCAGTTTGGGACCTGTACAGCAAACCCTGGGATGGTCTTTTGACCACGTCAGTGCAGGCTGGTACTTCATACAGCCTTCACCGGGTACCCAGAATTGGGTACAAGGCAGCAGGGAAAGGTCAAATGGAGTAGATACAATGGCAGATATATACCCACCTTTTGGACAGGCTTTGTCCACAGACACATATAGAACTCAATCTGTGCCTAATGCCATCCCCACTTAACCTGAAGTCAAGGGTTTAGTACAAATGCAAGAAAAATAGCACTGTATGGTGTCTCAGCCTGCGCCGGCAGCAGCTGTGCGAGCCGGAGGATCTGGCTATCGCGCTCCTTGACAGCGTGCCACGGCCCAGGGATGAGCTGCAGCTTTGCTGTCTTACAGCCACACCGTATCTCCAGGATAACTGCTACATGCTGCCTACAGTAGGAAACAACCAGGCCCTGTCGTCAAGAGTTATGGTAAAGCTAAAATTAACAGCTAACACATGGCACAGATGACTCCCCGCCTGCCTCTGCAGTTCTGCTCCTGCCGCAGAGCTGGGGAGAGGGCGGGCAAACACCGCGTGGGGCTGCTGCAAAAACCCCTCTTCTGCTCCCCGACGGGGGAAGGCCATCTCTGCCTCCCTCCCCAACAACCCCGTGCACACCTGTGGCCTCCTCGAGGGACAGAGAAATGAAATTGAGGAGCAAAGGAGGGGGGAATCCTTAACCCAGCTGGTTAAGCAGAGCTGCAGGAGGGCTGCAGAGGGGCTGCCCCCACCACCTGCAGGGCCACTGGCCACTGGCCACACGGGCTGCCGTGCCCGCGGCCAGCCATCTCATGCCCCAGCAGGTTTTTACACAGGGTGTTGCTACTACCTTTAAAAAAAAAAATAAATACAATATTCTGCTAAGAAGCTGGGTAAACAGTGAAGCACCAGAGCGCGGGCAGCCCTGCCACTGCTGCAGAACCTGCCCGAGCCGACGGCAGCTACTGTGCAGCCGTCCTGGGCTGCGGCAGCTCGGGTGCCGAGAGGTGACTTCAGGCAGGAAAAATGCTCCTTTCCTTCCAACAACCGCAGGAGGAGGGATCTTCTGACACACACGTCATCTCCCAGGCAGAGGCAGGCAGAAGGAACAAGGCACCTACACAGGGCGCAGGGGCAGCGCCTCTTCCCAGCAGCCAGGAAACCCTCCCAGCCCTCCCCACCGGGCTTGGGTTTGTCACCTGGCAGAAGCCTGGCTCAAACACCCAACATAAAATAAGATCTGGTACATACGACTTACAAATAAATAAATATAAACCACCCTCAGCAGCAACGAAGACCTGGCCTAAGTCATCTTGTGACAGGAATGATGGAGGGACTGTCTGGGTAAGCTGCCAGCACTGCCCTCTCCCCGGGGGGAGTATCAGAAGACACCACGACTCAAATTCAGGTTGAAAATGACAGACCAATGAAAGCAGGAGATGCTCAGGTAAATATTTTCAGCTGCCCTCCCAAGGCACGGTCCATGGCCGACCCCATCCAGCATCACCCCACAGCCAGCAGAGACCTGACCCCATCCAGCAACACCCATGGCCAGGAGGGACCCAACCCCATCCAGCAACACCCCAACTCTGGCTGGCAAGTACCCATGTGCTCCCCACAGTCACTGGGCCAGAGGCTGAAGCAGGTTAAATTGGGGGAAGATGGGCCACACCACCTACCACAAATCACAGCTCAAAAGCTCCTGGAATAGCTTTAATTACCTGCACTCTGCCTATTGCTTAACGAGGCCATGGCTCATGTAGGACAAAGCTGCTGGGAGAGATCATGGTCACAAAGAGGGGCCCTAGAACCAGTTCCAGGAGCAGCAGCACTGATGGGGACACAGGACCTGAGCTTTACCTGCCAGAGGGACCAGCACTGCCAGTAGGGCTGAGCCTATTCTACTGGCTCCGGGAAATACATGGGCTGTTCTGTGTGGTGAGGACCCTCAGAGTTTCAGATGCAGGGTGAGGTGATGGGCCAGAGTTTGGGAATGCAGAAGGCTGTAAAACCAAGCCCCCCCAACAGCACAGG